AAATGAAGTCTATCATACAAGTTACCATCGCTGATGCTACATTATATTGTGTTATGGTACTGCTTTAGAAAAAATACCTCCTATAGCAAAACTTGCTCTATTATTTTTTTTCAATTAATAAGTATTTTAAGTTCATCTGATGCTCTCTAAGTGGATTGAGACCCAGGGTTCTTGTTCCATATGGGAATTCCTGTCCCATAGACAAACACAGTTTTCAGCAGTCAATTTAGAGACTGCTCCTGGCAAAACTATTAATTCATTCAAAGGGAAGGAATGATGTATCTTCACTTAGAACTGGATTTGTTTTCCGTGAATAATGTCACCATACAGCCAAGTATGATTAGGTTTAACCTTTTTATGACATTAATTGTATGTTTGATTATTGCTTGCAAAAAAAACCCACCCTCTAATAAACAGAAGCAAGAAAAAGGCAAGCAAATTAAAAAAATAACAGTGAATAGCAGCACAAGGGACATGAAAAGACAGCTGTCTATAAGAAAGCAAATAAAGCAAATGTGTACTTAGTTTTCTTTAGTGGAACTATTCCATCACCATGAAAACCAAACTATGCAAAGCAAAACAGGATAACATTTGACCAGTCTTATATATAGCCTGTACGTTCCATCTGACTGGAGTATACTCAGCACCAGCATTTGTGGATTCAGCCTAGGAAATTTCCTGATTCATCTCCAGGCTCATAAAGAAAACAGGGTATGGCTTTAATCCATGTCTGCACTACTGCTATTATACCGAGATGTTTTTAAAATTAGAATGCAGCAATATGTGTGTGCGCAGGTGTTTATTCCTAGCAGCTGGTCAGGAAGGCAAAGGAGCTGTTTGCCACTATCTCATTGATTCTTGGTAGCAGGAGAAGGACAAACTTGTGTGTTCATGCAGTTCCTTTCCAAGCAAGGGTCAGTTTTAAAGTAGCTTATTTCTGGGATATCATTCTATGGTTTATCAAATCTTGAGCTATCCCACAGCTCCTCATATGCCTGCCTGCCTACCTTGACTGAGGAACAATGAGTGGAGATACTATACGTTGCATTCTAGAACCCCAAAATCCTTTCCAAGTCACATAGCTGAAATTCAGCAGCATTCTGTTAATGTTTAGGCTACATAATACATCCATTAGTGGATGTATAAGTTACTTTGATTTCTAAAATGACTCTTAATTATTTCCAGCAGGAACATTTCCCCAACCTACTGATGAGCCAGTGGTGCCAATGGAGGAGATGCAAAGTCCCACTGCCACTGCTGAACAAGAGATCCCTGAGATCATGACCCTTGAATTTCCAGAGACTGCAATCCCTGAGCATCAGACACTGGCTAAGCCCGTGCAACAACACAAGAAACACACCTGGCATCAGCTTTTGGGGAGAGTAAGAAAGGCTGAACTGTCCAGTTAAAGTTTCCAAGATGTCAAGCAAGCAGAACTGGAGGGAAGCTCCGATGACAGCACAAGCTTTGATCTTGCCTAAGACCTGCTAAGATCTTGCAGTCTTACCCTAAGGGTGCCTCCTCAGAACCAGAACACAAGTCAAGGAAAAGCAGAAATGCCAATCTGGAAGGAAACCAGCTAATAGAGAAAAACAGCATCTTGTCATTAAGCTACTTTGTCTTTCATAACTCTGGCAGAGCAAAAGAAAAATGTTTAAAATGTTCCCTTCTGCACAGAAGATAAATTCAAGAGATTAGAACAATTCATCGTTTCTTTAGCTAAAGCATATTTATGGGAAATATCGCTGAGAAGCACATTGTTTAATACACATAGATACAGTTTATAATACAAATCAATGAATACAATGGTAGTGTTCAGTAGGCTGCAAAAAGTTTGAGATAATCAGTTTTGCTCTGCTTGTAATCATCACTGTAGTGTGCATCTACTGTAATTGTTCTAAGGTTTACTTTCCAATTAATTCAACAGATTTGTTTCATTGAGATAATTCAATAGATTTTTTTTACTATCATGGTTGCTAACTTATGGTTCAACGTGTTGTATAAATGCAGCCTTCACTTGTCCATATGTATTACTGCTTTTTAAAGTTCTTCTGGAAGCCAGTTTGATGTCTTGGTATATAAACAGTTTTGTGAATGGCCAATATCTACTGTAGAAATTTTCTACATTTAACTTTCATCTGAACTCACCCAGAGTGTAGCTATGAACGTTGATGCTGTAATAAATGCGTTAGTCTTCAAGATGCTGTGTCTTAGTTTTTGCTGCCATACATAGTATGCATCCCCATCTAGAAATTATGAATATACAGTAATTGTAAATAAGAAGGCAACTCAGCCTAATTACTTTGGCAGTATATTCCATGAGTAAGATTAGAGGTAGAAAAATAATTGGCAGGACTAGTCAAACCAGAACTAGCACTGGGATGTGTTCTAAACATAATGATGCCAGGATGATGAAATATGTGTAGACATGTCACGACACAAGCTCTGCACCTTTGTACTTGCATTGCAACATCACACACAAGTATATAAGAAACAGAGTTTGCCTCTCAGCATTGTCATGTACATTTCGTCACTTGCCCTCTCCTGGATGCCTATGAGAAGAAGCACCAGCCAAGTAATAAACTTTAAGAAAGTGTATTGCTGGTGAAACAACAATTCTGTTCTGTTTTTCATTTTTGTTTGCTCCATGCCCACACACCACTGCCTGTTACTCTTCAAGCTTCTCATCTTCATTTCTGAGAATCTTATCAACTTCATCCAGTCACAACTTTCTTGATCTTCCTTTTCATGTCAAGCCAATCCCTCTTCCTTCTTTTATTTGTTTTGCAACTGCTCCCCATTCATTTTCTCTGTATGACCACACCACTTCAATGTTCTTCATTTGTATCAGTCCCCCATTTTTGTATTCAATCCATATTTCTTCTTGTTCATATTTCTTCTTGTTTCAGCATACATATTTGTTAAGTAGCTCTTTCCTACTGTATTCAGATTATTTTTATATTTCTTCTGACATACCCAACCTTGTATAACAAGAGGAGGCAGAAGCACACTCACACATAACCGTGTTTGCTTCCTTTGACAAACATTCATCCCTTGTGCTAGATCTCATACTCCCCTCTATCCTTCTAGCAGCATTTCCATTTCCTAACATTCTATATCCACTTTCTCACTGTTTATTTTTGAATATTCACAAAGCATTCCATTTATTTTCAGGTAGGCTTTAATTCCATCATATACTTACTTAGCACATTCAGCCGCTAATCTTCAAGTCCATATTCATGCAAAACAGTCTATAATTTAAGCCTATTTGTTTTATCATACATCTTCTCTGATTCATTAAATGTACAATAAACTTTATTTCACAGATTTATAGATTGGTCAATGACCTCCTGCAAAACAAAATCTGGTTGTATACCTCTTGCCTGACAGATAGCCACACTGTATTTCACAAATTTTGCTTATTGTAACCTCTTGCACCTTATTGTCACCTCAGAATTCTGCCAAATAGCTTCTAAGGCAAAGTCATCACACACACACACACACATTCAATAAGTTGCACTGCCACTCCATAAGCAAACTACACCCACATTGTAATATTTCTCCAGTTGCACCATCAACACCTGCAGCCTTATCATTTTTCCACATTCTCCCACACAGCATTTATTTTCTCCTTTTCATCATTTTTTAGACACTTTTACATCAGTGATTCTCAAATGTGGTCATATCATGATACCCTAAATAATAAATGAATTTCTGTGATTTCTCTCTCTCAAATATAGGGTTGATATTAAAGCTGGGAAAAAATAAATATGTTACTTTTAATAATTAAATTTTAATCTATTATCAGAAGGCTTCTCAAATTGGGGGAACCATAACTATCCACTGTGAGCTTGTCCATGCGATGCATGGATACTGTCAGAACTTGGTCTTACTTTGGCATGGCAAGCCCGTAGCCAGTTTGCACAGACAAAGCAGGAAGTCAAGCCCAGACCAAATTCTGACAGTTTTTTCACATTTCTTGCACAGAAAAAAATTCTGATCCTGCCTAACTTGCTCATGACTCTCCCTGGAAGTCCTGACCCAAATGTTGAGAACCTGTGGTTTATAGCGTTTCTTTCAATTCTACTCTTTGACATTTCTTGACCTGTCCATAAAAATCTCTAAAATATTCCTTTCAGCATTCCTTTAGTTCAGTTTCACCCAAATACACCCAAATCACTTTTATGTGTAATTCCATTCACAGTGCTGGAAGTTCAGCCTACTTCACCTCCTTTATAATCTCTTGACCTAGTTGTATTACTGATCAGTCCTTGACTCTACTATGGAACTCTGATATCTGCAGGGTTTGCTGGTTGGGGAATTCTGGTAGTTGAAGTCCAAGCATCTTAAAATTGCCAGAGTTGAAAAACATTGTTTAAATGTACTCTTTTTCCAATAGCAGGAAAGTAGTGCTGTCTTCAGATTCAGAAGTCCAAAGATACCACCAAAACTGCATTTAATGCTATTAACAATCAACATAAACAGCAACTTATAGAACTGATATTAAATGAGAGTTGCTCACTCTCTTTCTCTCTTCCTTTTTGTGAAAAGATCAGCAATTTTATAGAGTTCCAGAGGACACCAACTGGACCACAGATATATTTACTTTTACCAATTTGACTTACATTTTCATCTTTCACTGCCTTTGTTTGCTGCAGGTTATCCTGGCTTCTCCTGAAAAAGCCAGCATGTGCCAAGTATCCAGCCAGCGTCCTCAAAAGTGAAGCCAACTGTAAAAGGAACATTCAATTTCTGTTCTATACTCTCCTTTAGCACAGCTTTAATGCTCCATTGTCCAAAGGTACAACAGCTTCCTGGTTGTCAGCCCTTCAAGGTAGATCAGGAAACCAATGTCATGTAGGCCAATGCTATCTTGTACAGTGGTACCTTGGGTCACGAACTTAATTTGTTCCACAACTCTGGTCGTGCCCCAAATTGGTCGCGACCCGAATCAAATTTTCCCGTAAGGTTCAATGTAAATACGGTTAATCCGT